TAAATTGATTTTCCAGAAAGAAGTTTACTCCCTAGGTGGGACTCAATGGATAAGGCTAAACAATTTTCAAACAAAAGTCTGAAATAAATTGGTCATTTTTTCTATAAACCTGGTTTAGGAAGATGTGAGTGGTGTTTTCGCTTTAGTCATGTTTTTGGTTAATGTTTGTGTAAGTGTGTGTATATGTGCAGGTTCCTGTGGAGGCTAGAAGAAAGCATCAGATCCCTGAAGCTGACATTAATAGGCAGTTGTGAGCCATCAGACTTGAATGTTGGGAACTCACTCTGGTCCTCTGTAAGAGCAGCAAGTGCTTTTAACCGCTGAACCATCTTTCCAGCCCCTACTCTGGGCCTTGTATGTGGATACTGGGAATTTGAATTCATGCCCTAATAATTGTACAGCAGGTTTCCTTACCTGCTTATCTGCCCAGCCCTGGTTTTTTCGTTTGTTTTGTTTTTGACAGGGTCTCCCAGTGTGGCCTATATGTGCCTGGAACTCACAATCCTCCTGTCTCCGCCTCTCAAGTGCTGGGATTATAGGTGTGCACCACCACCTGGCCAGCAGACAATACTTGATACAGCTTAGAGTAAACCAACTGTCTTCTTGGCTGCAATCAGAGGATGCATGGGTTAGTCAGTGAGCCTAGTTAACTGATGAAAAATTCAGAAATGTCTGACCTTGAAATGTATTTATAACAAAAGTTCTTGATATTTTAGAAACTGTTTTAGCAAAATAGAGCCACGTTGAGAGTTATGGTGCTAGAGGGTAGCTCCACATACCTTCCCAGCCATCTGTACCCTAGTGCATGGTCCTTGAAATTCTTTCTATTAATACTGTATCTTCAGCAAGAATAGCTCACTAAAGCAGGGAGTGCCCTGAGGGGTGGAGGCTGGGTCAGAATTGGAGAGGGGAAAAAGGTAGTGCCAGGCCTGTACCTATGAGTAGGACAGAAGAAAGTCACCAGCTCACAGGATCTTAGCTGCTCATACGGAGAAGTACGCAGCTCGGGATGACCACACAGCACACCTGCAAGCTGCTCGCGCCCCTCCACCTCTGCCCTGACCTCTGACACTCAGAGTAACTCTGCCTTTGTTTGACTCTATATAATAGAATAGTCTTTTGAGGTTTTTTTCAGAACAGCAGCTTTTAGAGTCAGTTTCTGAGTTCTGGCCCCCGTTAGACTGGACTAGAAATGAGCAAGGCCAATCTGCTTATCTAGCCTCCTTCCAGATTATACACGGTCCTTTAACAGGGACAAGGTTAAATGTTTGACCTTTACAGAGCCTCCCGGCTGCAAGCAAAATTAGAACAGATAGTGTATGGGTTGTCAACACAGCCAGTGATTAAAGGATATTGACTGCTGTGTACTTCAGAGCAAGCAGGTCTTCCCATAGATAATTCTGCAGATTAAACTTGTGAAACGTTTATTTGATTGCCAATGCTAAGCCCGGGACTGCAGAGACAGCAGAGTATCCTTCCTGGCTCAGGCAAACGTTTATCTCTTACGTGAGCTGTAGACATGGTTATTGATTACATGAGGCAAACTCATTTTGATGACAAATTGCAGGTGATTTTATAATTTGAAGCACTGATCACTGCAGAATTGTAGCCTTCAATGACCAAGGTGCTGTGCGGATGAACAGCTCTCTAAAAGAGGTTGGGGGTCATAGTATTTCTTCCTCAGGAAGCCCACTTTATAGTACATTCTAGGTAAATTCTAAGTGGCAGTGCTTGTATTTCCCTAGGCAAGGAAATTAGTGTGTGTGTTTTCTTTGTTTGTAATCTAATCCAGCTATGCCAATTACCTGACTAGAGCTTTAGGGTACAGTGTGGCCTAATCAGCTTACTAGGCCTGTTCTTTTAAACACGAAGCCTCCAGGGCGGCCACTGTGGGCTCCTGGAAGAAAAGGGCTTTTAGTAGATCTCCCAAGTACCCAAGGGTGTAGTTCACAGCTGCTGTTACTGCTGCTTTCCTTTTATTTTGTTTTTTATTCTTTATTTTATTTATATTTTTAGTCTTTTTTTTTTTGAGACAGGGTCTCCCTGTAGCCCCAGCTGACCTGGAATTCACTATGTAGACCAGGCTGGCCTTGAACTCCCAGAGATCTGCCTGTTTCTGCCTCCCGATTGCTGGGATTAAAGGTGTACACCGCCACACCCGGCATTTAGTCTTTTTTTTTTTTTTTTTAATTTTATGTGTGTGCGTATATTGCACGCATGTAGGTAAGTGTGCCCGTGGAGGTCAGAAGAGGCTGTTGGATCCCCCAGGACTGGAGTTACCAACAGTTTTTAGCCTCCATGTGGGTGCTGGGATTCGAACCCGGGTCTTTTGCAAGAACAACCAGTGTTCTTAACCGCTGAGCCATCTTTCCAGCCCCTTATTCTTTATTTTTAAAATAAAGTCTCCTGTACCCAGATTGGCCTCGAACTTTCTACTTAGCCAAGAATGACCTAGGACTCCTGATCCTCCTGCCTCCACTTGCTAAGTACTGGGATTACAGGAATAATAGACATGTGAACACTGGAATTCGATTGCTATGACTCCAACATGTCGTGGTGTGCCTGCTTCTGTGAACCTCTGAGGGCCTGTGTCTTTTCCTCCCCTCCTCTGCTTTCTTTTTTTTTTTTCATATTTATTTATTTTATTTTATGTATATGAGGGTTCTGCCTACATATATGTGTACCACATGAGTGCAGTGCCCTCAGAGGCCAAAAGAGGGCGTCAGGTTCCCTAAAACTAGAGTTAAGGATGGGTGTTAGCTGCCATATGGATGCTGGGAACCAAACCCAAGTCCTTTGGAGGAACAGCAAGTGTTCTTAACCACTGAGCCATCTCTCCAGCCCCTACCTCTTTTCTTGATGTGTATTTACGTTGCTTTTACTACCCTAGTGGCATCTTTGGTTAAGTCTCTGTAGCTTTTTGTTCTAACCTGTGTGGAATGTCAGAACAAGGGCCAGTGTAACACCCCGAGCTCCATTAAAGGAGCAGCCGTTGTGTTCTCTGAGTTGTTGCCATCAGTGTTGTCTGAGTCTTTAGCCTATTAACTATTCATAAACAATAGTGTACCCTGTGTTACCATTACTGGCCCATGTGGTTTGGATCTTAATCTGTAGCACTAGAATGTCAACTAAAGGGAAAGGCAGCTGCACCCTGACTTTCTGCCTTTGAAGACAAGCTCTTTCACCTCCTTGGGTATCAGACTCCTCACCTGGAACAGGGAGGGTAGTCAGGGTGATGCCCACTTGGCAAGGTTGTTGTGAAGCCACACAGGGTGCCGTGTGGAAGCGCTCAGCACAGCGCCTTCCACCTGATTGGTATTTTGCAAATGTTACCTTTTGTCAGCATTTTTAACTTTGATCTCTTTGTTTCTTTAGGATGAGATTGATTCTGCAGTGAAGATGTTATTATCATTAAAAATGAACTATAAAGCCGCCGTGGGGGAGGATTACAAGGCTGACTGCCCTCCAGGGAACCCAGTAGCTGGGAATAATAGTAGCCCAGATGCCACAAAAGCCAATGAGGATTTTGTGGACCCATGGACAGTACAGACAAGCAGTGCAAAAGGCATAGACTACGACAAGCTTATTGGTGAGCTCTCCTCTTTCCTTCCCTCAGAACAGCCTCAGTGTTTAGTCATGACCACTGAGTTGAGCTCATCGATGTTTGTAAATCTGTATGTGTTTGCACACAGCTTGTTACATTATCTTATTTTTTAATTTTTTTTTTAATTTTATTTGTTATTTTTATTTTATGTGTATGCATGTATTGCCTGCATGTAGGTAAATGCACCCATGTTGTGCTACGCCCGCGGAGGTCAGAAGAGGCTGCCAGATCCCCTGGGACTGGAGTTATGGACAATTATTAGCTGCCATGTGGGTGCTGGGATTCAAACCCAGGTCTTCTGCAAGAACAACCAGTGTTCTTACCCACTGAGCAATCTCTCCAGCCCCTATTTTTTTAATATTTTATTTATTATTTTTATTTTATGTCTATGAGTGTTATACCTGCATGTAGGTAAGTACACCCATGTCATGCAATGCCTGCAGAGGACAGGAGTTCCCCTGGAACTGGAGTTGCAGACAGCTGTTAGCTGCCATATGGGTGCTGGGATTTGAACCCGGGTCTTCTGCAAGAACAGTTAGTATTCTTAACTGCTGAGTCATCTCTCCAACGCCTATTATTTTATTTTTAATTGGCACATAGTAATTGTATATATTCATGGGGCAATGTACTCTTCCTTACATGCATACACTCAGTGATGATCGCATCAGCGCCATCCTCCATACATGGAAGCACACATGTAATGATCACATCAGGATAATTGGCATGTCATCACCTCCAACGCTTACTGCTTGTGGCGAGAGCATTCACATTCTCTCGAGTAGCTATTTTGAAACGTAAGCACATTATTACTGGGTCTCTCCACCCTCTTATGCAGTGGAGCACCAGACCAGAACATACGCCTCCAGTCTCACTGCATCCAACTTCTCCCCGTCCTCTTCTCTCCCTGCCCTCCCCAACCCCTGCAACCTTTATTCTTTTTTTTTCCACTCTCCTTCTGAGATCTTCAGTTTCAGCTTCCACATGTGATGGCCCATGTAGGACTTAACCTTCTGTGCCTTGCAGATTTGGCTTGTCCTTGAGGTTTATCTGTATTGTTGCAGATGACAGAATTCTGTGTCCTAGTATAGCTGGGCAGTACTCTGAGTCCTCAGCATGAATCTTTCATCTTGTCCATCTGTACACACACAGTTCAACAGAAATTCAGATGTTTCTTCAACATGCCGATTCCATTATCTTTTGAGATATGTGATATTTTTAAATTTTAAATGATTCATGGGGCTGGAGAGAGAGCTTAGCAGTTAAGAGCACTGACTCTTAACTGACTCATAACTCCAGTTCCAGGGAATTCCACATGCCACCTTCTGACCTCCGCAGGCATTGCATGACATGGGTGTACTTACACATATGCAAGCAATACACTCATACACATTAAAAAAAATTTTTTTTAATAATAAAATATTTAAGAATAGATCGTAAAACACTTAAATTATATGTTCCATTCCCAAAGGATTTTTTAAAATATTTTGTTATTTTTATTTTATGTATCTGAGTATATTGCCTGCATGTATGTATGTAAGTGCACCCATGTCATGCAATGCCTGCTGAGGTCAGAAGAGGGGACTGGATCATGTGGAACTGGAGTTACAGACAGTTGTTAGCTGCCATGTGGGTGCTGGATTTGAACCCAGGTCCTCTACAAGAGCAGCCAGTGCTCTTAATCGCTGAGTCATCTCTTCAGCCCCCCAAAGGATTATTTTCAAACAAGATAGCAATAAACCAGGCATGGTGTTGCATACTTGTTATCTCAGCACTCAGGAAGAAGATGCAAAAGGATAAGGAGTTCAGGGTTATCCTCAGCTACGCAGTGAGTTCAAAGCTAGCTAGCCTATGATATCTAATACCTTGCCTCAAGAAACCAAAATAAAATTTTTTTTTTTTTGGTCTTTTTGAGACAGGGTCTCCCAGTAGCCCCCACTGGCCTAGAACTGACTGCGTAGATCAGGCTGGCCTTGAACTTACAGAGAGCCATCTACCTCTGCCTCCCTGGTGCTGGGACTAAAGGCGTGTACCACCATACCTGGCTGAGAAACCAAAATTGTTAATTAAACTAAATAATAATATAAAACTCTTTCAAAATGATCTGTGGGGGCTAGAGAGATGGCTCAGTGGTTAAAAGCACTGGCTGCTCTTACAGGGGGCCCGGGTTCATTTCCGAGCACCCACATGGCGGCTAATAACCATCTGTAACTCCCATTTCCAAGGGACTTCAACACCCTCTTCTGGCCTCCGAGGGCATTTAGTAACAGTGGTGCACTTACACACATGCAGGAAATACACTCATACACATAAAATAAAAATAATAAATAAAATTATTTAGATAGTAATAATAATCTGTTGTAAACAACTTGGCAACTTTCTCCTGGTTTGAAGCAGTTAGAACTTTGGGAAAGTCTAGTTCAATGGGCATCTGCTAGGACAGCCTCACCGTCATGCCTTCCCTCAAGGTCTTCCTGTTCATTGTGATCACTGACAATTGTCGGAGAAGAAACAACAAAATGCTTGTATCTACAGCAATGCTATTCCCATGATCTAGACATAGCCTGTCAAGGAGGGACAGTTTTCTTCTGGACTGACATGAATCCAGTTCACCAATTAAGGGATATGGAAATCATGGTTGTCAGTGAATAGAAGTTATACCTTAATAAGCACCTGTATCTTCATGTGTGTTTGCATCATGTCTGGGGGGGTGGTTACTAGAATTTGCAGCTAGCCTTCCTTCTGGGTGTTTTTCCCATCAGAGTTTAGTCTCAGCCCACAGCACTTTGTTCTCTGTTCCCTGTTTGCTGATTGCAGTCTCAGCTGTTTTGATACAAAGAACTTTTCACATCGTTTGAAGGGAAGGACCACAGCCCAGAGCTAAGGAGACTTGAGTCATTGAGATTGTGCATAGATCACTAGTTTTCTCCTTCATTTCATCAGACCAGGAAGCCTCCTGGCATCTAAGAAAGTCATCTCTGTTTCCCAATGTTTTTTCCAGTTCAGTTCGGAAGCAGTAAAATTGACAAAGAGCTGATAAACCGAATAGAGAGAGCCATCGGCCAGAGACCGCACCACTTCCTGCGCAGAGGCATCTTCTTCTCACACAGGTCAGGGCCTACCCTTCCTCTGCTCTGAGTATGCGGAATCCTGAGGTGCTGCACTGCCTGGTACCTGGAGCAAAGTGGGACACCTCTCAGTAACTCATTGTGGAGTCACAGGGTCCCTTCACCCATGAGTCCTTAGTTTGTTCCCTTGTAAACTACCCACCTCACAAGGTGAAGGTCAGTTCTTGGTAAGTACCATGCAGATTACATGCTGTAAATAATCAGATGGCATGAAAGTAAGAGATTCCCAGGTCCAGGTTCAGAATTTCCACATGGTAAACAGTAGACTTTCTGAAGTTACCTACCTTCCCCCTACTCATAAATGACATCAAAAGAATCATTGTCAGAGAGTTCATGGAACAGAGTATCCCTCCCTCTGATCATAAATTATGTGCAGATAACATCAGTCAAGAAATGGGTAAGTTCCAAAAGACTTCCTGCCCCTCTTATCCCACAGGTGAGAGTGTTCTGGCCTCCTCCTATTTCAACAAGCACCCAAGACAGAATTCAGCATTCTGGCCAAACACTTTACATCATGCCTCAGAGAACTCTAGGCCCTGCTCTGCCACATTCTGTGCAAAATATAATCAGTATTTCCTTAATTGAAATTGAATTCTGAGCCATTGAGGTGGGTCACCTGGTAAAAGTACCTGTTGCCAAGCCTGACAACCTGAGTCCAATTCCTAGGACCCATATGGTAGGAGGAGGTGAACAGATCCTACAAGGTGTCCTCTGAACTCCACATGCATGCCATGGCATAATTTAAAAAGAAATTGAGTCGGGCATGGTGGCACACATCTTTAGACTTGGGAGGCAGAGGCAGGCAGATCCCTGTGAGATTGAAGCCAGCTTGATTTACACACTAAGTGCCAGGCCAGCTGGGGCTATAGGAAGACCTTGTCACAAAATGACCAATCAATCAATCAGTGAGATTGAGGGGGCTGGAAAGATGGCTCAGTGGTTAAGAGCACTTCTTGCTCCTGCAGAGGACCTGGGTTCATTCCCTGCACCCACACGGCAACTCATAACCATCTGTACCTTCAATTCCATAGGATCCCATGCTCTTTTCTGGCCTCTGCAGGCACTAGGCACACATAAATACATGCAGGGAAGATCCTCGTACACATAGAAGACCCGTACTCCATCTCTAAACTGTGTTTCCAGCCCTTTTTTATGTTTTATTCTGTGATGGGGTTCCACTAAATTTCCCAGGCTGGCTCAGAACTCCTGTTGCAGGCTCCCAAGTGTTAAGGTTACAGGCACACACCATCACACCCAGACTCCTGAATTTGTCTTTGAAGGGAGCTCTTTGATTGCTTATTCACTCTTTTGAGGGGCATGAAAGCACCATTCAGATGTTCTCCTTTTTTTTCTTTTTTTCTTTTTTTAATTTACTGTGTGTATGCGTGGTGTGTACATGTGGAGGTCAGAGAACACCTTCCAGGAATTGGTTCTCCTTTCCTGAGTGGATCCAGGGATCAAACTCAGGTTGTCAGGCTTGGGCACAAGTGCTTTTACCCACTGAACCATCTCCCCAGCCTAATGTCATTGATCTTAAAACTTTTTCTCATGACATTGTCCAGTTTTCACTGTCCTTGTGACCATTTTCTTTGGTGTAGTAGCTCAGGGAAGGGTAGGACATGAGGCATTCACTCTCGAGTTTGAGAGGACCTACCTAGCTGCCTAGTCAGTGAAGCTGGACTGAAGGGTGTGCAGGTGGCCTCAGTCAAGCAGGAACATCTTGCCATAATGACCTCTATATGTATGGCCTGTGACCACATGAAAAGCAACTCATGGGACAACTGGAGTTTTCTCTCTTCATGTGCCCATAGAAGTTTAATTGGAGGAGTTAAGAGAAAGAAAGACCTCTTCTTCATCTCAAAAACACCATTCAAAACTCAGCACGAGTATGAGTTTGTAATGTCCTTTTCCTTGGATCACAGCACTCCAAAGGGACAGACAGGAGAGGATTTCAAGAGTACCTTTGACTACATTGCAAGAACCTGTCTCAAAGCAAGAAGCAAGTTGGGTATGGTGGTACACACCTACAATCCTAGCACTTAGGTAAAACAGCAGGCAAATGAGTTCACAGTCATCCTCCACCACATACTGGGTTCAAGACCAACCTAAGCTACATAGACCCTGCCTACAAAAAAAGCACAAAACACACAATACCTGTAAGCCAAAATCCAGAGACCAGCACTGTGACCTTTGGCTTGGGTCATGAGAGAGGTCACTGTTAGAATGCTGTGTGTTTATTCTTTCATTTGTTTGTTTGTTGGGGCAGGGGCTCATTGGTCCAGGCTGACTTAACACTCACCATGTAGCTGAGGCTAACCTTGAACTCCTGATTCTTCTGCCGCCACCTCCCAAGTAAGTGTCTGAGTACTGTTATCTAGACTCTCCTGTCAGAAAGGTTCTTATTCCTTTCTTATTTGGGACATTTACCCAGAAACAAAGAATGTCCACACCCTGGAGTGTTGGTTGGTCTCAACACCTTGCTAAAAATCAGAATCCCCTTGAGAGCTTATTAAGAACACAAGCTCTGGGCAGGGAGGACGGCATGAGGACCCAAGTTCAGTATCTAGAAACCATGTAGTAAACCAGGAGTGGCCATGTGTGCTTGTAATCCCAATGCCGGGACAACAGAGACCAGTAGGTCCCTGGAGCTCACTAGTCACTCAGCCTAGCCTAATTAGTGAACCCTAGATCCCAGTGAGAAACTGTTTCAAAAATCAAGATGGATAGCTCAACACCTGAGGTTGACCTTTGGCCTCCACACACATTTACACACACATGCACACATACACACACAAAAAAAATTCCCAGATACCACCTCAGATCTTAGCATCTTCAGACAGAAGCAGCTATGCCAGGTGATACCAGTCACAGCAACAGGGAGGATCCTGGCATGCACTGTTTGTGCCCTCAGCCTGAAGGAGAAATGATAGCTCTGGAATGGTTCTCGGAGGAAGACCCAAATCTCAGGCTGGCCTAAGTTGCTAAGCCAGAGCTCCAGCTGGGACCTTCATCCTGAACTGCCAGGCCAGAATGGAACCCTGAGGTCCTCCTGGGCTAGGTGTGTGCAGTCTCAGGACTGGGTGATGTGTTGTTGGTTTAGTGTCCTGTCCCCTAGGGAAGTGCATATATGTTGTGATCGTTGGAGTAACTCCAAAAAAGTACCAACAGCCACTCAGCCATGTTCATCTTTTAAACCTTTTATTCCAAGCTTTCAATGTCTTGACCTATCAAAACAATTATTCTCAGGAGAAACCGCTTCAGTAGCTGCTGTCATGGGCACCAAGTTAATGACTCCACTACCGTCCCTGCCGCCTTGCCTGTCTTCATGTCTAGATTCCAAATGAGCTTTATTTGGTGCTCTGATACTTTCTCCAGAAAAATCACTTTTTTCCTCTTGTTTCCATTAGAGACATGAATCAAATCCTCGATGCCTATGAAAATAAGAAACCATTCTATCTGTACACGGGCAGGGGCCCCTCTTCTGAAGCAATGCACGTGGGTCATCTCGTCCCCTTTATTTTCACAAAGTAAGTATTGCCTCATGGGACTTGTCACTTAGTGAACCAAGAAGGCTGGTCGCAGTCTTATTTTATTTTTTTTATATTTTATTTTATGTATGTGAGTGTATTTACTGCATGTATGTGAGTGCACCCGTGTCGTATAATGCCTTGGAGGTCAGAAGAGGGCTTCGGATTCCCTTGGAACTGGAGTTAAAGACGGTTCGTAGCCGTCACATGGGTGCTAGGAACTGAACCCGGGTCCTCTGCAAGAGCAGTCAGTGCTCTTAACCACTGAGCCCTCTCTCCAGCCCCTCTCAGAGTGTCTTGAAAGACAAGTCTGCTTCCTGCATGCCGAGCTCCAGAATGTCAGGACATTGGCACCGTCAGGGCCTCAGTGTACCACGTTTGCTCCTGGGCTCACTCTGGAGGAGCAAGGTGTGATGAGAGACCACCACCTTGGAATCAGCCAGTGCTGTCCCCCCTCTTGTTGCTCCATGTCCTTCCCACTTGGGGACCACTGCAGCCTAAACTGGATGACTCCCACCCGGAAAAATGAGTGAAGGCTTCAAAACAAAGTACATAGAAGTACTCGGCACAGAGCCTGGCAGCATGCACTCTTAAGCAGTGTGCTGGCCATTTCTCAGCAGTTGGGTTGTGACATGGTAAGATCCTGCAGTTTCACAGCTAAGAAGTAGGATCTATGTGCTCACATATGAAGTGGCATTCTTCCTTGGGGACAAGATGTCTGCATTCTCCTGTGTTCCCTGGGTGGCCCAGGCCGTGTTCAAATGTGCTGCCATCTGTGTTTCATAGGTGGCTGCAGGATGTGTTCAGTGTGCCCTTGGTCGTCCAAATGTCTGATGATGAGAAGTACCTGTGGAAAGACCTGAGCCTGGACCAGGCACATAGCTACACCGTGGAGAATGTCAAGGACATCATCGCCTGCGGCTTTGACATCAACAAGACATTCATCTTCTCTGACCTTGAGTACATGGGGTAAGGAATAAGCACTTGGCTGCCTTCTGAAAAAGTAGATGCAGACATCCTGACCGCATCGGAAGTGTTCAAGATGGTTATGGCCTGGCAAATGTTTATCTTCCTGCTATCATCTGGTGGATTGCTTTTATTTACCAATAATTTTGAAAGTAGAAAGCTGTATATATGCATGGAAAGGGTTAAGTAATGTGAAACACAACTGCTACCACTATAATTGTATTTACAGCAATGCTAGATAAATGCCCAAGCATGTCCTGATGGTGTCCCAGGGTGTTGTCCCCCTCAGCTGTCATCATGAAGTACTTCTGTGGTGTAGTCCTCTCAGGACAGCCAGTCTGACAGAGTCCCACTGGTTAGACACCGCCTACAGTAAAGTCTAGTTATCTTTAAGTTAGCGCACTTCATTCTGAAAATCCTTGAACTTGGACTTCATCTGAAAAGATTACCAAGAAATATGTTAGAAAAATAAAGCTTGAGGGGGATGGAGAGATGGCTCAGTGGTTGAAAGCACTGGTTGTTCTTGCAGAAGACCCAGGTTCAAATCCCAGGACCCACATGTCAGCTAACAGCTGTCTGTAACTCCAGTCCCAGGGGATCTGACAGCCTCTTCTGTCCTCCTTGGGCATTGTACAACATGGGTGTACTTACCTACATGCAGGCAATACACGCATACACATAAAGTAAAAATAATAAATAAAATTTAAAAAAGAAAAAAGAAAACTTTGAAGCTGGTATGTGACGTGTACCTACCGTCTCATGTACTCAGGAGGCTAAAGCAGCAGAATCAGGAGTTTCAGGAGTTCAAGGCCAGCCCAGGGCTACATAACAAGACCTTGGCAAAAGAAACAAAGGGCAAGGGAGATGGAGGGAAAAGGAGGGAAGGAGGGACTGAGATTTCAGTCAGCCATCATAGAATGTTATTGAAGGGACTGGAGAGATGGCTCAGGGGTTAAGAGTACTGGCTGTTTTTACCGGAGACCCAAGTTCAAATCCCAGCACCCATATGGCAGTTAACAACTCCAGTTCCAGAGGATCCGATGCTCTCTTCTGTCCTCCATGAGCACTGTACAACACAGGTGCACTTATACACATGCAAACATTGTTATAAAATTAAAATAAGGGGCTGGAAAGATGGCTTAGCAGTTAAGAGCACTGACTGCTCTTGCAGAGGACCCAGGTTTGATTCCTAGCACCCACATGGCAGCTACAAACCATCCTTATCTCCAGTTCCAGGGATTCCGACACCCTCTTCTGACCTCCACAGCATTGCACGACATGGGTGCACTAACATACATGCAGGCTATATACACTCATACACATAAAAATAAAAATAATAAATATATTTTAAAAATTAAAATAAGAATGTGATTAAAGTCAGGTGTGATGGAGCACACCTTTAATCCCAGCATTTGGGAGGCAGAGGCAGGCACATCTGGCCTAAAACTTGTTATATAGACCAGGCTAGCCTCAGACTTACAGAGATCTGCCTGCCTCTGAGTCCCAAGTGCTAGAATTAAAGGTGTGGGCCGCTACTTCCAATCCAAACAAAATAATTTTTTAATTTTACCTGTCAGACTTTTTTCAGTTGTGCCATGTGAATATAGAGATTATGCTATCCTTGAAAGAATTTAAATAGATCTATATCCAATATCTGACACATCTGTTCAGTGGCCATGTAGGAACATAGGTGTCACCAGTCTGATCATTCCCATGGCCTGTACATCATTGCTCTCATCTTATTCCTTAGAATGGCCTGTGCAAGTGTTTGAACCTCAGCACAGACAGACGCTGGCTTTTGCTCTTTCTCTTATGGCCAGGCTGCTGACAGGGCACAGTGACTGACGTGGTTTGTTTTAGAGTTACTCTCAATGTGTCGCTTAGGTGGCCTTGAACCCCTGGGCTCAGGTGATCCTCTTGCCTCAGTCTCCCAAGTAGCTGAGACAGTAGGCATGCACTCAGCAAATGGTATTGTGCAGCATCTTACCTCCTACTCCAGCCCCCCTTGTCTTGTCTCCCACCCGTATGCCTTCCCCAGCGAGTTGTCATCGGACAAAACAAAGAACACTCTTAGCACACCAGCTCCTGTGATTTGGTCCCTGTGTTCCCTTCAGCATCTCTGCCACCTCTAACTCAATGGAACAATTTACAGTCCCACATCCCTCACCTGTACAAACACAATGCTCTCCTCTGAGCTGAGCCCATCATTTTCATGTGACTAACTCCATCACTTTTCCTCCAAACAGTGTTATCCTGAAGCTTTTTATTTCCTCCCTACAGCCCAATAGAGATGCCTGTTTCTTGTCCCTTGCCCTCTTCTACACATCTGATGCAGGAAGCCCAGTGAGTGGGTCAAACACATAGTTCCCTGCATCTGTGTACTCTGGGGCAGGTGTTTCCTGGCCCTGCAAACATACAGAAGCTAAGCCAAGTTCTGCCTCCTTGAACTCAGCTGTCAGTGGCCAGAAAGGAACAAATACCTAGCAAGTCTATCAAAGATGGCTGTGTAATTGATGAATGGTGGGGCAGTGAGCAGTCCACACCCTGTGCCCAGCCCCATCAACACATTTTGTGTGGAGCATTTGTCTCTGTTGGTCTCGACCCTGACTATCCTCTGCCTTGATCCAGTAAGAACTTTCAACCCCATCTGGGTGTTTTTGTTTATAATATTGTTTTCTGGTTTGGGTTTTTGTTTGTTTTCGGGGGGGTTGGTTTTGTTGTTGTTGTTTTGGTTTTGGTGTTTTTTTTTTTTTTATTTTTTTGAGACAGGGTCTTCCTGTAGCCCCAGCTGGCCTGGAACTCACTATATAGACCAGGCTGGCTTCCTCCTGAGTGCTGGGATTAAAGGTGTGCACCACCACCGCCCCCTTTTGTTTGTTTTCGGGGGGGTTGGTTTTGTTGTTGTTGTTTTGGTTTTGGTGTTTTTTTTTTTTTAATCTTTTTGAGACAGGGTCTTCCTGTAGCCCCCTGGCCTGGAACTCACTATATAGACCAGGCTGGCTTCCTCCTGAGTGCTGGGATTAAAGGTGTGCACCTCCACCGCCCCCCCTGCCCCCCCCACTCTGTTTTTGTTTTTGAGTTGAGCTCTCATTATGTAGCTTGTACTGGCCTTGAATCCCAAATGCTAGGGGTTACAACTGCAAGCATGCACCACCACACCCAGCAAGAATCCGTCAAACACTTGACTATTTTTCTTTCCTTCTTGAATGTAACCTATAATCTATCTTTGACCTAACCAACCTATTGGTCCTTTGGTGTTCAAATACAAGGAAGCTAGCCGGCTGCTGCTCTTACCTTGGAGGGAAGAAGTCTGCATGGCCTCCCTGCCTCCTGCATGTACCCTCCTGGCTTCTTGCCAGGAGGGCTGCAAGGGATGAAAGCTTGTGTTCCAACCCCAGCTCTGCCCCCACTTGGTCTTATTCTCTTGGGAAGTCCCTATATCTCCCAACCTCTGTTTTCCTGTGGCATGGGGGACCTAGGGGATGTGGAGCTAGTCAGGGGCAGCACAGTGAGTGTGCTGCTCCACCTGGGTTCGTCCTCACTGCCTTCCTCAGTGGGACCTGCACAAATGAAGCACTTACTCAGTTCCTTTATTCCACAGATAATTTATGGAGCATCTAATACATGCCATGCTGGTTCTGGTCCAGCAAGGAACAAACCAGTCACCCCAGCTACAGCTAGACACAAGTTACCCAAAAGTTTTGTTCTGTTTCATTTTTCTTTCTTTGATGTTGGACATGGAACTAAGAGCAAGTGCTCTACTACTGCCCTGCTCACCTAACCCTGAAGTTTAGCCTCTGATGAGGAATCAGATAATCAGGTGATAACCAGTCCTGTAGTGACAGTGAGATGATGGTGTCAGGAGGACAGGGAGGGGGTGAAAGTAAAGATAGTGGTAGTGGTCCATGCTGCCAGGTTTGTGGGTGCTGACCAAGTTAATGTATATAGAGTGTTTCAAGCAGTGCCTGGCACCTAGCAGGCCTCAACAAGGTCGCCATCTAAGCCTCTTCCAATCTGCACCCTGTGCAGGGGGCAGTCTTTCCAGTACAGCTGTTCACCAAGCTGTCACAGTGGGTGTACCTGTTGTTTATGTGCAGTGTCAGGCACTGGTGGGTCTGTCTTCCACTGGGAAGACTGTGGCTTCCATTCTCATGGGACTAGGTCCCTATTGTGCAGCATGACCCAGCTAGAAGGCCAGTGTGCTGGGTGATCTGAGTTCAGTTTTCTTGACCCAAAGGACGTATGGAGCCTTCACCTGTCTCCCCGGTGGTAGCAGCAGCTATTCTCCCCAGTGTGAGTGTCTGAGGCTGTTGCTGCCCCCAGAAGGCCCCTGTGACAGGCTGGTTCCCATCCCAGCAGAAGACAGGGATGTCTTCCCAGCAGTTGTGGCACTGCTGTCTTACTCTGCTGAGCATTTGACCAGATGTGGAGTGCTCCTGCCCTGGCCCTGCTTGCCATGCCTCCCTGGGGCCTGGACCTCTGCTGGCTACTAAGTAGAAGCCACAGAGAAGGCCCACTTCCAACTTTGCGCCCACATAGACTGCAGTGTCCTGTGTTCCTGACCTTACCTCCCCCTGCCCAGAGGTACTCAGGAGCTCTAAATCCTAGCCAAGTCTGAGCTCTTTAGAGCTGTGACAAGATAAGGAAGGTACTAGTAGCTCCTGTGGGCACAGGGCCTATGATCGTGACCCTGAGCCTTGAGCTTCAGTCTCGTCTGAAAATGGAAGCAGCTGCTGCCCCAGAGGGGCAGAGCAATCACTGTGTACCATGTCCTATGATGCCCAGTCCTTTTCTGCTGCGATAGAAGAATAGATGCTCCGTGATTGATAAAGACATTTTATGTTACCCAACTTTCAGTCCAAAAGTGTGGTATCTGGCAAGAGCCTATGTTAGCTTCAGCCTAGCTGAAGACAAAAGGTCAAACTCTTGAAATGAAGAGGAAAAGTGGGGAGAGTAGAGGTGGGGGTGCGGTAAGCAATGAGCCCATTAATAATAGCTTTATTCCACTCACAAGGGCAGTGTCCCTGTGACCTAATCACTTCTTAAAGCCCCCACCCCTTAATGCTGTTACAGTGGTAGTTAAATTTCAGCATTCAATCAAGCTCCTGGCACGGGATCAGCCTGGAGAGAACAGTCAGCAGGACAGTGTAAGAAGCCATTCTGATTGTCCGCCTCTGTAACAATGGTTACCATAGATCTGGGTATATTCACACCCATCACCATCCAGAAAAGAATCGTGTTGCTCACACCAGCCAATGGGGCCCACTCCTGTTGCTGGCCACTGGGCCAGTCCTGCCCAAATGACAGGATACCCTGCAGTGCCGAGAAGCAATGTCCAGTTGCTGGGTTGCACTGAGGCAAGCACTCTGATGTGCCTGCAGCTCCTGTGCACGTCATCTAGCAGGGCACATATGTCTCTTATCACATTGTGTCAGCAGGTGGTCCTGGGGCTTCTTCCCTTGAGCTCCACAGCACTCTGGGCCTTGACCAGCAAGATTTGCACATCCCCTGTCTGCCCTGCCCTCTGCTCCTGGCCTCATTTGCAGGTCTACCTCTTGTTTACTTCACAGAGCTAGTTTCTACCTGTCTTGGTCAGCTCCACAGGTGGAGGTGTAGCTGCCACAGGTGACTTCCTACTGGTGGCTTGTGCCTGATAGCTTTAGTGTCAACTTGACACACCTGGATTGAGGGATCCTCAGTTAGCGAACTGCCTCCATAGGACTGGCCTGTGGCCATGTCTGAGGGGCATCTTCTTGATGAGAGAGGTGGGAGGGCCCAGTCCACTGTGAGTGGTGCCACCCCTGGGCAGGTGGGCCTGTATTGCATAAGAAAGCAGGCTGAGCAGGGGCCAGGGGAGCAAGCCAGTAAGCAGCGTTCCTCCATGGCCTGTGCTCCAGCTCCTGCCTCCAGGTTCCTGCCCTGAGTTCCTACCTTGGGCTCCCTGATGAACTGTGACCTGGGAGATATAAGACAAATAAACCCTTTCCTCCCCAAGTTGGTAGTGGTCAGAGTATTTTGTCACGGCAATGAAGAACAAACTAGGACATGGCTTCTCCACACTTTCCTAGTGTATATTTGTTGACCATATGTGGTCCCCAGCATGTGTGGCTTGGTGCCGATCCTTGCCACATCTCACTGATACCTGTCTAGCCACTGCTGCTTCGTCCTCCATGGTGGCTGCCCTCTAGCTCAGGTGTGATTCTGCTCCTCTGCAGGCAGAGCCCAGGCTTCTACAAGAATGTGGTGAAGATTCAGAAGCATGTCACTTTCAACCAAGTGAAAGGCATTTTCGGCTTCACCGACAGTGATTGCATTGGTAAGGGGCTGTTGCTGCCTGTGGACCCCTCTCCCCCAGTAAGACAGGCAGAGCACAGAAGAGGGAAACTGGTACTGACAGAGTTGTGAAGCAGCAGCACCAGAGCCTGGCCTAAAGTTGCTGCTGTGTGTGTCTGTGTGCACGCCTGTGTGTGCCTAGAAACAGAATCCAAGGCCTCACACATAGTAAAGAAAATGTCACACCCCAGCCCAAGTATCAGAACTTTAAAGCGTCTGGCCCAGGGACTTGGGGTGTCTCTGAGATGTTCACATTGTAGGTCAGCACCCCAGATAAGACACTCGAAGGTGGGTGCTCCCCAAAGCTTGAGCTGGCACTGTTACTTGTCTGTACTTGGGGGTGTAAGTCTCTCCTCTCCTCAGTTGCTTACTTTAGGGTTTAGAAGAAAGAGGTAAAGCTGACTTTGGAGTTCTTCACCTGCTGGAGTGACCCCAGTCACTCTGAGATCTAGTAGAGCCCAGGAGAGTTGCAAGAGGGTTGGTGGATCTGCTGCTTACTGGTGGGAGACTTCCCTGGGCCCAGGTTTCTCCACTCACAAGATAAAGGGTTTGAATAACTGTCCTTTGTGCCCCTCCTTGCTCCCCTGTGGCTCTGCCCCCACTGATATGCACAGTATTTGCTTGCTTAGGGACAAGTTTATGTCCTCTGCACATCTCTGTTATTCTAATGTGTTAACCTTTGTAGACTCTTAATAAGCTTAAGGCTTGTGCCTGGGCCTTTTGGTCCCTGTGTCCTGTCCCATCCTCTCATCTTTTGTTTTCTTTGATGGTTCACTCAAATGCATTCCCAGCAATTGGAACATGAACTCTGCTTTGGAACCACAGCAGAGGTGTTGAACAGTTAGGAAAGCAGCATTGAGTGTAGAGCAGCTGCCCACCCCTTCCCTGACACCGGGTTTGAACCCTGGACCAGCCACTCACTACTGTATGCCAGCTGTGGCAAACCACATCAACCCCCTGAGCCTGAATGTGCACATTTGTAAGGTGGAAAGGTGCCTGGTAGTGGAGCTATGGAGCATTGCAAGCTCCTGGAAGGCCTGACATAGTTCTAGGAACCAGCCACTGCAGCCCTGTGCCCTCGATGGTGGTGCTGGTGGCCTTGGAGGCTAGGTACAAACTGCTAAGGACGCTGGGCAAACTGCAGAGGGGAAACTGATAGGAGGTACCCAGCCTGGGGCTGCAGACTTTCTTCTCTACCTCTCTGTTTTCAGGCTCTCTTTAGTTACTACCTTTGCACTGGGGAGGAAACCTATTGTTGATTCTTCTAACTGGGTTAGTTTCCCAAAGCAGTAGTCAGCATAACACTTAAGAGCGTGTTCTCTGTCTTTCAGGAAAGATCAGTTTTCCTGCTGTCCAGGCTGCACCATCATTCAGCAACTCCTTCCCACAGATCTTCCGAGACAGGACGGATATCCAGTGCCTCATCCCATGTGCCATTGACCAGGTAGGAAGGCAGAGTGAGCTTCTGGAAATGGGGCTGGTCGTGGTTTTTAGGACTCTCTTCAAGGTAGGGGAGGGGTGGTAAGAAGTGTCGGAAGAAGAAGGGGCAGTTTGAAACTGACCAGAAGCTCCAGCACCCAAGGAGTGTGGCCCCTTGGGCTGCTCACTGGCCAGAACCTGGCCATTTGTTCCAGCTTTCTCAGCCAAGTCTTCTCCCCCAGGATCCTTACTTTAGGATGGCAAGGGACGTGGCCCCCAGGATCGGCCATCCCAAACCTGCCTTGCTGCACTCAACCTTCTTCCCTGCCCTGCAGGGGGCCCAGACCAAGATGAGTGCTAGTGACCCCAACTCCTCCATTTTCCTCACCGACACGGCCAAGCAGATCAAGACCAAGGTGAGCAGTGCCCCAGCAAGGGCCACCTGTGGGGGCAGAAAGCCTGGGAGAGGCAGGAGGCACATAGGACGTAGTATGCATTGCACACAAGTCACCACCTGTCTCCTGTATAACCAGAGGGAGCCAGGCCCACTTCCCAGAGAGCAACAAAAATAGATTTGAGATTTGGGCCTATGGTTTTCAGTGTTTGGGAAATTTGTTTTTGACTTAATGTATGAGTGTTTTGCCTATATGTATGTAAGAGCGCCCATGTTGTCCAAAGCCCATGGAGGCCAGAAGATGTCACATCCCTTGGAACTGGATAGTTGTTAGCCACCATATGGGTGCTGGGAACCTAAAGCAGGTTCTGTGGAAAAGGAGCCAGTCCTCTTAACCACTGAGCCATCTCTCCAGCGTGATTTGGATTTTTGTTTGGTAAGTTTGTGCTCCCTTTCATTTAGGTAAAAACCTGGCCGGGTGTGGTGGTACAAACCTTTAGTCCTAGCACTTGAGAGGCAGAGGCAGGCAGATCTCTGTGAGTTCAAGGCCAGCCTGATCTACATAGTGAGTTCCAGGCCAGCTGGGGCTACAGGGAGACCCTGTCTCAAATGTAGAGAATTGAAAAACAATAAACAACTAAGAAAGTTTATTCTCTTTTTATTAAAATTTTTTTTAATTATTTTTACATGTATGAGTATATTGCCTGCATGTGTATAAGCGCACCCATGTTTGCAATGCTCACAGAGGTCAGAACAGGGCACCAGATCCCCCTGGAACTGGAATTATGGGCTGTTGTTAGTCACCATGTGGGTGCTGGGATCCGAACTTGGGTCTTCTGCAAGAGTAGCCAGTGCTCTTACCCACTGGGCCATCGCCCCAGCCCCATCCATTTTCTTTTTCCTTTTGTCTCTCTGCCTCTCTTAGCAACATTTTGTTGTAGAAGCAAAGTCTTGACAGTTTCCTCTAAACTCATAATTAATGAAGCTGTTGTCAAAAAAAATATGATTTTCTTCTCTGAGCACTAGATGAGGCAGGGCCAGTTCCCTTGCTTATGTTTGCCGAATTTCGTTCTCCCTGGGAGTTAATAGCATGGTTGGTTGGTTGTTTGAGGGGTTTTTTGTTTTTTGTTTTTGAGATAGGATCTTACCATGTAGCCCTGGTTCACTTGGAACTCCCTATATAGACCATGTGGCTTTAAATTACCAAATCCACCTGCTTCTGCCTCCCAAGGGCTGGGATTAAAGGCCTGTGCCACTAGACCCAAGGTCCCCTCCCCAACCCTGTTTTGTTTTGTTTTTTTCTACTATTGGTTTTGAAGGGGAGAGCTAGGAGGCAGAGAGGACCAGTGAAGCCAGTACAAAGCACCTGCCATGGAGCAGTGTTTCTCTGGAGACAGAATTGGGAAGCACTCTTCGACAGGACAGCCCTGTCCAGCTGTGTCCTGCTGGCAGCTATGGGTACTTGGTAAATATTGCAGGTCACTAGGGAACTAGAACTAGAAATGAGCTTGTACGGCTGCATCTTTAGAGCCCAGTTCTGTTGCTTGGTGCTGAGCTGCCATTGTATGTAAGCCCCTTGTGATTACATGATCTCTGACATTTCCTTTGCATCCAAGTATGTGTTTATGGGTTGCAAGGTTGCAGTGGAGTGAGAGGAACCATATTTGAGGCCTGTTATATATACAATGGTTAGAGTCTCTGCCAGGCCCCCAAGCCTTCTGGAAAGTCCTAAGCAGATTCTGATTGACGATGGGGACTTTTCACATCCAGATCTTCAGGAAGTAGCCTCTGCCAGTCCTCCCCGCACTACCTTGGGAACTGGTATAATCAGGGATTTTTCTTTCTCTTTTGCTTTTGTCTGAAATTTCCCAAGGGCAAAGAGTAGAAGGGGAAGAGGGGATGGGGCGGCTAGCTGTCCTGTTTTTGAGAAGTTGTGTTTTAAACATCTGTGACTCTGAAGTACTTTTTGTTTGCCTAGAACTAGGAGAGGCCCTGGTTAAGGAGTGCATGAGATCAGAACCACACCACACAAGCCTTTGGAGGTCAGGGCCACAGGTTAGCCCCTAGGGCAGGCTAGGCCCTCTCCAAATCCCCTTGCCCACCTCAGCTGCAGACAGAATATCCACAGCCCAGAGGTGGGCCAAGACACTGGTGACAGCATCCACCTTAAAATAAGAAAGTCCAGCCTCCGATTAACACAGCTGCCAACAATCAGGTATCCCTGATTATCTGGGCCTGCAGGACAGCAAGGCAAACTGTCTTCCTCCCCCCTCAACACAGAGCACTTCTGTGCCCTACCAAGCAGGTCTCCTCAGCAGATACTAACAAGTTGGTGTCTTGCTGCTCAACTCAGTTCTGATGCTCTCTCCCTAGAGAGTGCAGTACTCACACATTGAGGCCTCGGGCCCCAAGACTGGACAGCCCCCACTTCTCATGCCAGCTACAAGGCTATGTCATCCATATTTCTGACTGACCATCTATGCACCACAGTTTCTACCACCTCTTCTCAAGTTTGAGTAATTTGCTGGAACAGCTCACAGAACTGAGGGAAATACCTTCATCTGTGTATTATAAAGGACATAAGCAACCAGCTACATAAAGAGTGGAAAGGCCAAGGGTTGGAGGGTATGTGACCTGTGGAGGGGCTGGAGTGGAAGGTGTGTGACCTGTGGAGGGGCCGATGTGGAGGGTATGTGATGAGTGGAGGGGCGGGCCTGGAGGGTGTGTGACCTGTGGAGGGATGCTGAGATTCCCAAATCTCCAGACACACTGATCTCCAGCAATTCCATGAGTCAGCAACCTGGAAACTTAGCCCTTTTGCACCAAGAGAATGTAAGATTCCCACGTTTTAGGAACTTTGTACCAGGACAAAATATTCTGACAAAACATGTTCCTGTCACTCAGGAGAATATCTCAGCTGTCCAGGCAGTGTTTGCAGGGTGGAAAGTCTTCCTGGCTTCTCAGACTTAAGGCAGAAATTACACCAATGTCCCATATAAAAACTGTAGTTGGATGGTGCAGCATAAAGTAGGATGTACCTCTTCTGGACCAACACGAGGGGCCTCCCACCGCGGTGCTGTTAATGCAGAGCCTCTCCCGCCTGCATGCGTCCTTGAGCTGGTTGCCCATTCCTGACGTGTGCCTACTCCCAGAGCCCAGTGCCCTCCTGGTGCCCTGGAGTCTGAGCATTCCTTCAGGCAGGCTCTGCTGTCTGGTGGGTTGCCACTGGAGCTGCCTGGCTTTGAGAATCTGGTATTTCAAGTCCTAGCCTTTCAACCAATTAGTGCACTCAACCTGCTCAGTTTAGTCATTCATTTATTTTCAGTTTACATTTATTTAAGAGTGTGTGTGTGTGTGTGTGTGTATGTGTGCCATGGCACATGTATGAAGGTCAGAGGACAACTTTCAAGAATGTAACTTTCCACCATGTAAGCCTTGGGTGTTGAATTCAGGTCATCAGACTTGGCATTTTTCTGGCCCTGGGAGTCAGTTTGGTTTGGCTGTCTCATCACTTCCATCATCTTAGGCCCTGATGATGGCCTTCTGGAACCCCACCATGAAGGCTGCTCTTCCGTTGTTCCGTACAAGTCCATGTTTCTATGAGTTTCCTATAAGTCGGGCCACACAGACTAGTTTTCCAGCAGCACTAGGACTTTTTAGCTCCCACATTAAGCCAACACAAGCCACTCCCACCATATGAAGCAGGTTCCGGAAACTCTGAGCCTCACTCACTCACTTTCTTCACTGATGAGAGGAAGGAAATGACAGAGGTCCCTTGGTGACTAGGGATAAGATATTTGTCATAACTGTAACGGCCACCATTTATAGCACTATGCTGTGTGCCACTGAGTGAGGGCTCCACATATGGACATGTATGTCTTGGCAACTGCTGGACAACTCTTCTCCACCTCCTCTCAGACCAGATCAGAGAACTGCCCAGGGACCCTTCAACACCCTTAGTTGTTGTTGATTTTTCAGACCTGGGGATGGAACCGGGGCCTCATGCATGCAATCTGCCACTGAGCTGCCTCCCCAGCCAGCCTGCTGGACACCATGTCAAATGACTCTCAGAACCTAGAGCTTCTTCCCCTGCCAGGCCACACCTGACCTGGCCTAACAGCAGGACCCCAGCAGCACTATCCCAAGGGCACTTAGACCCTAGGAGAGTTCAATACTAGCCGTTCAGGAGTTTTCTACTATTATTTGCTTGGTATTTCCATAGTTTTTGAAGGTTGTGTAAATGTTGTTTTTATTTCTATCCTCTTGGGGGGATGGTATTGGGTATTAAACCCAGAGCCTCTCAAGAAACTTCCGGACAGTTTTCATTTCAGCCCCTGGCCCCTCCCCATACCCACCACATGACACCTAACTGCCCTGGTACAAGGCCCTACCCAGCACCTCAGCAGCAGGCTTTCCCTGTGCCCCCCTATAAAGGATCCTGTTCTGGTGCCTTTGGCCCCTAGCATTCATCCTGGTTCTTGAGGATCCAAGCCAGCACTCACTCAGTAATCCTCTCTGAGACTCAACTACGGAGACTTGCCAAATGGATCAGCTTAGAATCTGTTACTCCACCCACCCTTTTCTCCATTGAGGAAAAGAAGGTCAGTGTGTGGACAATGGCTTTCTCTCCTGTTCATTGAAAGAATGCAGGAAGAGCTTTGTCTGTTCCACTGGCCTTTTTATTTTCATCCCATGGGCCTTATTTCTCCAAGGTTCTCTTCAGTGATTTCTGAAATCCACTTTGTTAGTTTCTGTTTTCATTAATCCTTCGTGTGTGTGTGTTTTGGGGGTTTTTTTTGGGGGGGGAGGGTGTCTTTTTGAGACAGGGTCTCCCTGTAGCCCCAGCTGTCCTGGAATTCACTATGTAGACCAGGCTGGCCTTAAAGACTCATTTAAAAAAAAGGATTTATTTTTATTTAAGAGTGTGTGTGTGTGTGTGTGTGTGTGTGTATGTGTGCCATGGCACATGTATGAAGGTCAGAGGACAACTTTCAAGAATGTAACTTTCCACCATGTAAGCCTTGGGTGTTGAATTCAGGTCATCAGACTTGGCATTTTTCTGGCCCTGGGAGTCAGTTTGGTTTGGCTGTCTCATCACTTCCATCATCTTAGGCCCTGATGATGGCCTTCTGGAACCCCACCATGAAGGCTGCTCTTCCGTTGTTCCGTACAAGTCCATGTTTCTATGAGTTTCCTATAAGTCGGGCCACACAGACTAGTTTCCCAGCAGCACTAGGACTTTTTAGCTCCCACGTTAAGCCAACACAAGCCACTCCCACCATATGAAGCAGGTTCCGGAAACTCTGAGCCTCACTCACTCACTTTCTTCACTGATGAGAGGAAGGAAATGACAGAGGTCCCTTGGTGACTAGGGATAAGATATTTGTCATAACTGTAACGGCCACCATTTATAGCACTATGCTGTGTGCCACTGAGTGAGGGCTCCACATATGGACATGTATGTCTTGGCAACTGCTGGACAACTCTTCTCCACCTCCTCTCAGACCAGATCAGAGAACTGCCCAGGGACCCTTCAACACCCTTAGTTGTTGTTGATTTTTCAGACCTGGGGATGGAACCGGGGCCTCATGCATGCAATCTGCCACTGAGCTGCCTCCCCAGCCAGCCTGCTGGACACCATGTCAAATGACTCTCAGAACCTAGAGCTTCTTCCCCTGCCAGGCCACACCTGACCTGGCCTAACAGCAGGACCCCAGCAGCACTATCCCAAGGGCACTTAGACCCTAGGAGAGTTCAATACTAGCCGTTCAGGAGTTTTCTACTATTATTTGCTTGGTATTTCCATAGTTTTTGAAGGTTGTGTAAATGTTTTTATTTCTATCCTCTTGGGGGGATGGTATTGGGTATTAAACCCAGAGCCTCTCAAGAAACTTCCGGACAGTCTTCATTTCAGCCCCTGGCCCCTCCCCATACCCACCACGTGACACCTAACTGCCCTGGTACAAGGCCCTACCCAGCACCTCAGCAGCAGGCTTTCCCTGTGCCCCCCTATAAAGGATCCTGTTCTGGTGCCTTTGGCCCCTAGCATTCATCCTGGTTCTTGAGGATCCAAGCCAGCACTCACTCAGTAATCCTCTCTGAGACTCAACTACGGAGACTTGCCAAATGGATCAGCTTAGAATCTGTTACTCCACCCACCCTTTTCTCCATTGAGGAAAAGAAGGTCAGTGTGTGGACAGTGGCTTTCTCTCCTGTTCATTGAAAGAATGCAGGAAGAGCTTTGTCTGTTCCACTGGCCTTTTTATTTTCATCCCATGGGCCTTATTTCTCCAAGGTTCTCTTCAGTGATTTCTGAAATCCACTTTGTTAGTTTCTGTTTTCATTAATCCTTCGTGTGTGTGTGTTTTGGGGTTTTTTTTGAGGGGGGGAGGGTGTCTTTTTGAGACAGGGTCTCCCTGTAGCCCCAGCTGTCCTGGAATTCACTATGTAGACCAGGCTGGCCTTGAACTCACAGAGATCTGCCTGCCTCTGCCTCCCAAGTGCTGGGATTAAAGGCTTGTGTCACCACGCCTAGCTAATCCTTCTTTTTTGTTTTGAATGGTATCTCTCTGTATTGCACAAGCTGGTCTAGAACTTCTGAATTCAAGCAGTCCTCGTAACTGTGTGCTGAAACAAGGGTCTACCAGCTCCATTTTTTTAGTTTCTGCACTTGAAACTTGACTTGTTTCTAGGTGGAGACTTGCCTACAGGCCTTCCTGCCTCCTTACATTTAGGGGTGTGCTTAGCTTCCCTCTTAGCTGTGTTCTAAGACCCTCTTGGCTCATTTGCACATTGGGATTGGTCACTGCCCTTCTGTCGCCTATGACACTACCTGTCATCCTTCCTGTCAGTTCCTTATTCTGAAGAGGACTTTGACTCTTCCCCAGATTTCAGCGCAGTCTTCTAGGGTTTTCAGACTATTCTATAACTGGGCAATGTGTGGTTGGCACAAATCTGCTGTTCTCCCCTGTCCTTTACTATGAGCCCCACTACTGCTTAGACCAGGCCTAGTGGGAAGGGGCAGGTGGGTGAGGGCCCTCCTGCTGTCCTGAGCCTCAGCTTTGCTCTGATCCTGAATCCAAAGTCAGTCATTGATTTAACTGCCACCCGTGGGCCCTGAACAATGTCCAGAGACTGGGCAGCAGATCTGACTGGCCTCTGTGTTGCACAGGTCAACAAGCATGCATTTTCTGGAGGAAGAGACACTGTGGAGGAGCACAGACAGTTTGGGGGCAACTGTGATGTGGACGTGTCTTTCATGTACTTGACCTTCTTCCTTGAAGATGATGACCGGCTGGAGCAGATCAGAAAGGTGAGTCAGGGCTCTAGGCCTTGTGCTGATGGAGCTTCCTCGGTTGCCTGGGCTTCAGAGCAAGTGCACATTATGTGATGGGGTGTGAAGACTGAGTAGAAGCCAGGCACAGTGGTTCATTGTGTAGACCCAGGTACTTGGGAGGCTGAGGCAGGGGAATTGATAATTCCAGGCCAGCCTGGGCTACATAGCAACATGCTGGAGAGAGAGACAGAGAGAAGGAGAGAGAATCACTTAGATATTTTATAACCATGTGGGAAGAATTCCTTGAACAGATAATTCACACAAGTAACCATGAGAAAAGGTTTGTCTTGCGATGTAGGTCAAACATACTGGCAGCTGAGTGTTCTGGCACACGGCTTTAATTCCAGCACTTGAGAGGCAGAGGGGAAGGTATCTTTGTAAGTTGGAGGCCAGCCTAATCTACATAGGGAGTTCAAGACCAGCCGGGGCTACATAGTGAGACCCTGTCTCAATAAAACAAACAAAATACTGGCAAAGTTTGCCAGGTATGATAGTGCACACCTTTAATCCTAGCTGGCAGATCTCTGTGAGATTAAGTCCAGTCTGGTCTACATGGCAAGTTTCAGGTTATCTGGGGCTACTGGGAGACCCTGTCTCCTGTGAATGAATGAATCAATCAATCAGTCAATCTCACCTAGACATCTAGTGAGCTTGTGTGGTTGTTGGCTGCAGTTTATTTCAGTGACTGGCAGCCAGGTGCTGTTAGGTACCAGCACAGCCCCTCAGTGAGCAGCTTGGGACAATGTGGAGCTTTGGCCTTAGGTTTTATATGGGAACTTTTTTTTTTAATATTTTAGTTATTATTTTTATTTTATGTGTAATGTGTGTATTGCCTGCATGTAGGTAAGTGCACCCGTGTTGTGCAGTGTCCACAGAGGACAGAAGAGGCTGTCGGATCCCCTGGGACTGGAGTTATAGACAGTTGTTAGCTGCCATGTGGGTGCTGGGATTTGAACCCAGTTCTTCTGCAAGAATAGTCAGTGTTCTTAACCTCTGAGCCATCTCTCCAGCCCTTATATGGGAACTTTTATAAAACAAAATATGCCAGGAGGTTGGAAAGACAGCACAACTGGCAAGAGTGCATAATACAGAGTGCCTGAGTTTAAGTCCCAGCACCCAGGTTGGGTGGCCTAGACCCAGAGATCCTGACCCCTCTGCCTCCTTGAGCACCTGCACTCATGTGCACATACCCACACACAGACACACACACATAGTTGAAAATGAAAACAAAGAGTTTCTCCAGTTTGCTGCCACCTGGTTTGGGCCTTTGTTCAGTCTGTTTGAGGAGTGAGACTTTTATTTACAGTCAAGAAAAGGTCATCAGAGGTTGCAGAGAAGCCAGCTAGGCCAAGAGGGACCATCTGTGTTCAGTGCTTAGAGGACCATCTCCCTGGGTGGGGAGGATTGTGCTCCCATTGACCTTTTCAGTAAGATGCATTCAGTCACAGCTGTAGTCAGAGCCAGGTTTCAGCTATTTTACGAGGGCTGTCCTTTAAGACCCAGATTACTCTTATACTTACAGCATAGGCCACAAGTGGCATGGACTGAACTGAAGGTCAGGTAGGGAGGGCTGGGGTACACAGAGCCACTACTCACAGCATCGGCTTCCTGGCAGGATTACACCAGCGGAGCCATGCTTACCGGGGAGCTCAAGAAGACGCTCATAGACGTCCTGCAGCCTCTGATCGCTGAGCACCAGACCCGGCGCAAGGCTGTCACCGAGGAGATGGTGAAGGAGTTCATGACTCCCCGGCCGCTGTCCTTCCACTTCCAGTAACGCCCATTTTCTATGTGCATATGAAGCCATAATTTATCAGTAATCCTAGCCCCATTGAATCAAATCACACTCCCAGGAGGCTTGTCACATGGTAATTCCTGGGTCTGAGTCTGGACGCCCTGTGTGTATTCTGGTTGCTGGTTCTTCTGTGCTGTCTCTCTCCTGGCGCCTGCTAAGGGTGATCAGGTGCTGCTAATGTTCTGTGGTTGGATGGAAAACCCAGCTGTGAATCTTTCCCACAAAGAACCAGGTGTGGCACCTTTATGGGCCCCAGAGGACAGTATGTGTGCAAGCAGCCTAGAGTTCAGATATACCGCAAATCCACTCCATTTAAGAAAGTGTGGCTAAGCCGAGCGATGGTGGTGCATACCTTCAGCCTTCAGTAGGCTGAGGCAGAAGGATCACAAGTTCCAGCCCAGCCTGGACTATGTAGCAAGATCCTATCCTGCCTCAAAAAACAAAGTATTTTGTGTACGCTTCTGTGGAGTCGAAATGTCATTGTTATAAAATTTAAAAGCGCTATGAAAAATTGAAATGGGTAAATTTAGTGGGCAAAAGATACTATGCTTGAGCCCATATCAAAAAATCATATATGTGTGTGTGTGTGTGTGTGTGTGTGTGTGCGTGTGTGTGCATATATACTGTATATATGTATGTATTTTGCTTTACACTTGACTAGGAAATCACCGGCTTTGTGCTGAAGATGTAGCTCAGTGGTAGAGCACTTGCCTAGCATGCATGAGGCCCTGGGTTCAATCCTCAACACTGCAAAAAATGGGCGTGAGAAAAGGAGAAATCATTTAGGTTTAAAGCTGCTTTTAACACTGGCTGAGGACCAGGGTGGGCCATTTTTATTCCAGCTGCGGTAACTAAGCTCCAGACCTCGCATGTCGTCCACTCCGAAATCATGCTTCATTCCTTTGGCCTACTAACTTTTCCACCTAATAGCTCTGCACTCCACCCTGCAGAAACCAGTGGTGGCTCCTCCCACCCAGGAGATACTAAGGACAGTCTGTTACCTTTGCAGATGCTTTTGTTTTGACACTTGACTGAAGTGGAAGTCAGCACAGAGCAGTGTGCTGGCCATGCCCTGAGCTGGTGGACTGTAGCTAGACAGAAAATACAACAGCAGCCTCCAGGCCCTGGCGTTTTCCCTGTGGGCTGGCCACATTGAATGACCCAACATGTGCAGTGGTGACAAAACAGAAGCTGTATCCCAGGGAAAGCCCCTGGTTGAAGTGTCTGTCCTCTACAGAGGGACAAGGTGCGCTCTTGAGTGCTCTGTCCTTGGGCCACTTTCTGGCAAAAATAAACTTCCTTTTGCTCCTGTCTGCATCACTGACTGTCCAATCAGACTGCAGCGGTTGCCACAGCCTTGCTGTAGGTCTAAGCCATTTAGCACCCACTGCTGAGGGCAACTCCCCCCCACACACACACACACGTGAAAGGAGGGGTTGCTGAATTCTATGGGCAACATTTGAAGAGAAAATGCACAGTTGGAGAAACCTAGGGCACCAAGAGGCAGGCTCCTGGGGATCACTTTGTGTCGGGAGTCACTTGGCCTGGGAAGCTGCCCTCCTTTTTCCTGCCCTTACTGGTTTCCCTGGTACTGTCCTGCCTCATTTGCTGTCTAATAGGCTGAAGAGAATGTGTGCATGTTGTCCTGTTTTCAGTGAGCTAAGTGTTCAAGGCAGTACTGAACGGTGAGTACAGGCTGGGGCAGGGCTGGCAGGGATGGATCCAGCTACGGTGTAGCCCTGGCCTCACTCTTACCATCTGTCCTCATTTTGCAAGGAGGGAAAGGAGGCTCCAGAGGGGAATGTCCAAGGCCACACAGTGAATTTGTTACTGAGCAGTCTGTCCCGACTCTTAGTGTTGAAGGAACTGAGATTGGCTCCCTGGGAGGCCCAACACCTGGACTCAGGACCCACAAAGGTGCCAGTGTGTGGCAGGAATCTCATGGAGGTTCCTCTCCCAGCCCAGCCCTCTGGACTGGCCACCCTCACCAGGCCAACTCCTCACCTGACTGAATGTGACCAGAGGTGGTGACCCACTCAGAATGGCCTCGTTCACTGTGCGACCCTGGCTGACCCAGGCCACTTCTTTTTTTGTTTTGTTTTATTGAATTTTTGTGTATTTCATACAGAAAATCATCTTTATACCCCTTCTCCCCACTTCCCTTTTGGCCTCCCATACACCGCCTCCCCACTGGAATTCATACATTCTGTCATTTGTGTTAAAAGCCTATGATGTAAAGTTAGTGTCCCCAGATGTCCTTCAGTGCAAGTTCATCCACTGGGACCTAGGCAGCCTATCTAGAGCCCCTCCCTTCAAGAAGATCAGCTCTTCCTCACCCAGCAGTAATCAGCTGCCAATAATTCTTCGACTAAATTGGAACTTGCTGTTCATTTCCACAGTTCTGTGCTGGGTTTTTGTCTGCTTGAGTTTGCATGGGTCTTGTGCATGCTGACACCATATGAGCAAGTCCCAGGCTCCTGTAGGACTCTATTTCCCTATGATCATGCACTTCTTCCTTGGCTCTTATAATCTTTCCGCCCCCTCTTCTGCAATGGTCCCTGAGGCCTGGGTGGGTAGACCTCAATATAGGAGTCCTGTCCAAGGACCCACACTCGGCAGACTCTTACTCTCTGCGACTTATGTCACTTCTCACAGCTCCATCACAGGTACAGGTATGCCAGTGTGCACATGAAGTCCCAGTAGCAAAAACACCGTAATCACTGTCTACCTAGCCACAGCATCTATGGGCAGATGGCATAAGTGAGGTCCTGAGTGCAGAGAAGAGTGAGCACACAGGCCAGCGCCCCAAGCCCATCATCTGTGGCTTTGAGGGAATTACTTAACCTTTGGGAACTCCCATTTCATCCATGCAGGACAGAGCAGGGGTGACATCTAAGGCTGCTACGGGTTAGACAGAGGGTGACTTCAGGTTCCAGCACAGGCTCAGTGGGGTTGGGGATGCAGCCTGGGGTCAGTGTCCTGTACCAGAGGGTCAGGAAATGCCCAAGAAGAGCAGCCTTTGCTGACTCATACCAGCCTGTCACACAGATGCCAGGGCCAGCCCTTCTGACAGGAACAGGTAGGGTCCCTGTGTAGGACAGAACTTCAAAGGGGCACAGGCCTTGGGCCTGCAGCCTTGGATACATGGAAGTCCTTACACCATTGGCCCTGTTCACAGGCCTATGGGTCTGTTGCCTGCACATACTATGGGAGCAATCTTTAGCTCTCACTGGAATGCCAAGTGCAACCTTGATTTTTACAGAAGCAGCCCTGTAGGAAGACCAGCTCCAGTGTGTGATTTGGGAGCAGCAGCTCCTCCGTGATCTTTCACTTCCTCTGACATGAGAGCCAGGCCAGGTGTGCTTCAGAGGCTGAAGCAGGAGGATCCATACCAACTTAAGGCCAGCCTGGGCTATACAGTGAATTCCAGGCCCTTCCTGCTAAGTCACTTCCCTAGCCAGTGACAGCCTAAAGACCTGGGCTGGGCCAGCTGCTCAGCAGTGCAGGGTCAGCTGGAGCCAGAGCCAAGCATGCTGCCTAAGTGCACCTCCCACCATCAAAATGAGTGGATGGCTCTAGTGGCCTTGGCAGAAGTGGCCCCTGACAGGGTCAGGGTTAATGACTCACTGGAACCTATAGCTGGTGTCCTCCAAGCACTTGCCCAGAATGGCCCAACATCTTGAACTCTAAGCTAGATATATATTCAAGTTCAGAAACTAAAAGGACTTTCTTAGGGATCTTTGGAACCTATAGCTGTTGTCCTCCAAGCACTTGCCCAGAATGGCCCAACATCTTGAACTCTGAGCTAGATATATATTCAAGTTCAGAAACTAAAAGGACTTTCTTAGGGATCTTAGGAGTTGCAGTTAAGAAGATGCATGGGACAGTGTTCAAGGAATGCAGGCAAAGCGAGTGCTTAGGAACAAAGACTCAAATCTGGACAGAGTCAAATTGTTTCAAGAGAAATCTTATTGAAATTTGAAAAGAATGCAAAGACTGGCGGGTGACAGGACCCAAATGAGAAGAGAATGCTTATAAATGTCCATCGTGGGTGCGTCCTGGTCACCCTCACTTGATTCCTGCAGAGGATGGTGGTGGCAGCTCCTCCCTAGCTGCCGCTGGAGGTCTACTGATAGCCTGCCTCCCCAGTGGCCTGCTGGCCCCACCTGGAAGCTCTCTAGCTTTCATCATAATCTAAACTTTACTACAGGGCTTCAGTCATTCAGTCCACACCCTGGGCTGCTCCCAGGTTTGGAATAGAGGGCAGACAAGCAGCTAGCCAGCTGCCCAGGCTCCCTGAGAGGAATCCAAAGCACCTGGTGGTAAGGCAGGACGAGCTTGGAAGAGGTGAGGCCAAAGGGCTAGAGTTAGGCAGGCAGAGGGAGGTCTTCTGGGGTTGTAAGCTCTAGTACTCAAGGACCTGCATTACTAGAGTAGGACCAGGAGCAAGTCTGCCTCTTGTTATAGGAATAGAAAAAATTCACTGTACCAAAATGCAGGTGAAAGTTGATACATACATGGCCAGGCTTTACACCTGAAGAAGTAGTCAAGGCGGGCATCAGCCAGCTTTACCAGAAGGCTGCTCTGTATAGACCCAGTGTGCTCACAGCAGACCTGCCAGCCCTGACTCCCAGTGGCCCATTCCTGCAAGCCATGGGGTCCCAGGAGAGGGAGGCTAAACCTCAGAAACACAGGCAAGTCCCACCATGTGCTCACAAAACCTTTGTAGGGTTCCTGGCAACCTCCCACCTGCAGTCTCCTGTGCAGAACACCAATCAGAAGTGTTTGGCATGGGTGCGATGTGGATAGCAGGCCATAGCAGGGCCCCACAGCCCAAAAAGTCAAGGGAACAAATCCAGCCCAAGAGCTATTGCAGGCCTTCAGGGATGGCTTCTATATAGCGAGCACCTCGCCCCCAGGTAAGCACTTTTGTCCATCTAGGAGAGAGCTACTAGGACTGAGCCTCTACACCTCCCACTGTGGTCAGACAGGCTTCACAGGGCACAAGATGAGCACAGAGCAGATGGGTCAGCACCCCACAGACCATGGAACGACACTGCTGAGCACCCTCAGAAACACTTTATTGATGCCCGCTTCCCCACCCAGGCTTCAGGGTCTTCGCGTGGCAGGCACAGCGCCCACAGGCAGGATGAGGGTACACGAGGAAGCTGCACACCAGTTCTTAGCCAGTGAGGACACGGGGCCCTCCTGGGTATCCTGGAGCAGAGAAGCCCAGCCTGTAGCCATATGGCTCTGTCCTCACTGTGTGGTGGAATTTGCCAGCCTGGCTCTAAGAGGACAGTGTGAAGAAGGATTGGGGGTTGAGTGTGCCTCGGCTGGCTTGATGGAGGGTGTGCTCCGAAGTCTAGGGTTCAGAGAAGAAAAGCAGGAGCAAGAGTGAACAGTTGCCCAGTGACAAATGACTCCATGTGACACATGCCCTCACCAGGGAAGCCCACTTGACCCTGACTCATGTGCCCTCCAAACAAATGGCAAGATAAGCCCCTTGACCTTGTGGTCAGCAGCTGGGCAAGCCAAGCTCAGGCCTCAGCTGAGTTGCTGCATGGAGACCCCCCCTGCCCTGATGACAGCCCTGTAGGGCCCTGACCCCACCCACACTCCCTTTTGCCTCCTCCAGCTGCTGCAACCTAGACACTGCTGGCAGCCGGCCACTATGTGAGCAGGCCCCGAGTGAGCCTCAGTATAGCCTCGTAGGCCACAAAGACCACCATGTTGACAGGGAAGGCGCGGCAGCAGTTGAGCGCTAGCCCCTTGAAGAGCACTCTCGGGCCCTCCTCCCGCACACTGGTCACCATGCAGTGCAGGAGGCCCCGGTAGCGCTGCTGGCCCTGCCCGTCCACTTGCAGACGTGACTTGATCACGTCCATGGGGGTGGCCACAGCCCAGGCCAGGACCCCAGCACAGCCTCCAGCCAACAGCACACCGAAGACATCTGCAAGAGAGACAGAGACCATGCCTCAACACAGGCCTCACTGGGAACCCATGCCACACCCTTGTCCCTGGATATTATTTTGCAAATGAGGCTTCAGAGGGGCCACTCGGTGCCTTTGTGACAAGGGTCTAGCCTGACTCAGTGTTAGGCAGTGTACAGCCTGGGAGACCCAGCACCTGGGCTAGACATGCTTGTGTGCCAATACACAGCTTGCAGCCCAGCAAGCTCCTCCCCATCCTGCTGTCACTCACCTGGCTGGCTATGGCCAGCAGGCGTGAGCCACTCACAGAGCATGGCATAGGAGAGGAAGTACGTGGCGAAGGAGTGACCTTCCCGAAGAAGCAGGGCTGAGCTGCCCTTGTAGAGGCCCCGAAGCCCCTCCTCACGGGCCACCGTGAGCAGACAGTGCAGTGGCCCATGGTATTTGGGCCTGGGCTCCAGACTTGCAGAGGGTGCAGGACACAAAGGGGGAGCAACTGAAGGCCATGAGGCTGAGGGCCGCCGCTGCTGTGTGTGTGTCTGCGTCTGCGTCTGCAGGCGAACCTTGGCCACTTCAGTTGGTGATGTCAGGAACACCTGGAGCAGAGAGGCAGCAGGGGTAGAATGTGCCTACAGCCTTCCCTCACACCCCTGAACTCAGCCTCCCTTTGCGATCGCCCAAGCCTGGGCCCCAGGAAGCAGCAGGCCAGCCCCAGGGCTTTGATGGTCCAGGGTCCAAAGCCAGCTCTGCCCAGGTGAGGCTAAAGCCAGGGCCTTCTATACCTCTCCCATCCTAGAGCACTGGCTCAGCACATAGCAGGCAGTAAGCAAATGTGACTTGGGTCAAGAGTATAATTAAAAACGTAATTATCAGTGATGAAGTCATATTGCTAATGACATAGTGGTCACTGTTGTGCTCAGATATGTCAGGCTCTACACTGGGTCTTCATACCCATGAGCTCCCTTAATCCTCACCATGCCTTACAGATGAGAGACAGACAGCGGAAGGGTCCTTAGCTCGGGGGGACGGGGGGGCGGGAAGAGTTTCAAGGGGCCAAAGTCTTCCCGGAAGCAGCCAAAGATATATCCAAGTGCTTCCTCCAAAAAAAAAAAAAAAAAAAAAAAGGGCCCTAACACTCATCGGGGGGGCGAC